AAAAAAAAACCAACAAATTCCAGATACTCTCTTTTCTCCTCTGTTATTACTTTCTTGTCTTTGTAATCCCAAATTAACACCGCTGACGCTGAAGCTGGTCGAAGAACAAATAGAAGCATAAGAGAAAAAAACTCTTTGTTTCGTTTCCGGCGATTAATTTTCTTCCATGTTAAGAAAGACTTGATAATTCTGAAATTCCAAGAATTGGAACAAGAATCGGAGGGAGAAAAATCAAAAGAAAAAGAAAAAACTGGAAAATGAGGCCGATGGAGACGATACAGGATCTGATCGACGAAGCCAAATTCCGGACGGTTTGGTGGGCCATGGTTATCTTTGCCGTCACTTACTTCTTGACTCGTAAGTTAATGGATAATATTCCAAAAACAATCTTTGCTCTATGTTCGTTTTTTCTTTTAGCTATTTATTCTTTTTTTGTTTTTGGGCAATTCTTTGATTTTACTTCATTTGGATAGTTAATTTTCTTCGAATTGTTTTGATTGAAAGTTTAAGACGATTCCCAAGAAATTGGAATCAATTAAACGTTGGATTTTAAATTTCTTTTAATTGATTAAGTTAGGGCTTTCTTTTAGTATTTTGCGTTAATGCGGTTTCTTTTTTGCTTTTAGGAATTAATTAAAACTATTTTTATGAAGTTTATAAGAGTTGTTTTTGGGTATTCTGCTTTGTTAATTGATGCAGATACGAGTACATCAATGTGGATGAATATACCTATAGCAATTCTTATTGTTGCTGCATTTCGAATTATGTCCAATGAGGTTGAGTTCAAATGGAAAGTTCAATCAGTTCGTCCGCAAACTTATTTGTCTTATTTGGAGAAGAAACAGTTGTCTTTGAATGATTCCCGTCTTTCCAGCTCACCGCCTGCACCCAAGTGGAAGCGGAAAATTGATTCTCCTAAGGTGGAGACTGCTCTCAATGAGTTCATTGATAAAATACTTAGGGATTTTGTTGTTGACTTGTGGTACTCGGAGATCACGCCAGATAGGGAGGCCCCTGAGCTGATCCGTGCAGTGATTTTGGATGCTATTGGTGAAATATCAGGGAGAGTGAAAGAGATAAACCTTGTTGATTTGCTAACAAGGTAGGTTTGTGGTGTAAGAAGCTTTGTCAATTGTAAAAATATTTGACATTTTTAAAGCTCAAGGATTTCAAATGGTTGTCTAATGTTTTCAGGGATATAGTTGATTTGATAGGAGATCACTTGGATCTTTTTAGAAGAAACCAAGCTGCAATAGGTGTTGATGTTATGGTAACATTGTCGTCTGAGGAGAGGGATGAAAGATTGAAACACCAGCTTATGGTTTCTGAAGAGCTTCATCCTGCATTAATTTCACCAGAGAGTGAGTACAAGGTGTGAGTGGAGTGTTCTGATGGAAGTACATTTTGCCTACGCATTTTATGGTTTGCTTTAGTTTAAGTCCTTATACTTTTTCTTTTTCAGGTTATTCAGAGGCTTATTGGTGGAGTGTTAGCAGTAGTATTGAGGCCACGGGAAGCTCAATGTCCTTTAGTTCGAACTATTGCTCGTGAGATTGTAACTTGCTTGGTAGTGCAACCTCTTATGAATTTGGCAAGCCCAGGGTAATTTATTGAGCGAAAGTTTATTCCTTTTTAATTTTTAAGATAGCAAAAATGTAGTTAGTACTTAATATTGAAGATTGCAGTTCCCTTTAACTGAGTTAGCTGAAAGTTTTAGGTTTTTGTGGAAATGCATTCTTATTTAGTGGTTATTTGGCTTTTAAAAAGAGTGGAATAATTAGAACTAGAACACAATCCATCCTGCAAGGAATGGCATTTATACATGTGGAGTGGAATCATGATTAGAATCTTTCTATTGACCAAATGTAAAATAATAGGTGGAGAATGTTTAAAAGGCTACTCATGATGAACTTACAAGACTTCATTTTAACTGAATATAAGCTTTGGTCTTTGCCTTAAAAAATATTATTCGATCTTTTTTTCCCCTTATGTTTTGTTGCCAGGTATATCAATGAAGTGATTGAATATATTCTACTCGCCATTAAAGATGATATGAATAAGATGGTGGTAGGTTTTGATCAGTCTTCAGTGGGATTGCATGGTGCTGATTCTACTTCAAGCAAGATTTCATCCTTAAACAGTCAAGGAACTGATTTGACTTTGGCTACAATTGACAAGCAGAAAGAAACATATTCAGATTATGGCAGGTACAAGGAAGAATCAGAGCAGCCGAGACCAGCTGATTGGGCTCGAATCTTAGAGGCAGCAACCCAGAGAAGAACTGAAATTCTTGCTCCTGAAAATCTTGATAACATGTGGACAAAAGGAAGAAACTACAAAAAGAAAGAGAACAAATATGTAAAAGCAGCAGTTCAAGAATCTATTCCAGAGGGTTCTGTGAAAAAGAGTGCTATATTGATGGGGAATTCAGGAAGTGAAATCTCTACCAACAAGATTGGAACTTCTACAGGAAGGGAAGAGAAAACTGTGATGCAGCTAATGCCTGGTTTAAGTCTTGACGCTCAATTAGGTGATGGTAACACAAAAGGCACAAAGTTAGCTTTGGAGTTTAACAAGTCATCATCATTTGAAGGAGATCATCTTGTTAACAAATTTATTGATGCTAGTGAGCAAGCTGCTGATGGAAATAAATATAGGCTTAAGAGATCCAGTAGTACCCCCGATTTGAAAGTTGAACCTGATACAAAGAAGGCACTTACTGGAGATGTTGGAGGGCCTATTATTTCAGAGTTCTACAGCCCTGATTTTGGCAGGCATACTGAAGAATATAGGGGTAAAATTGCCTCAAATATAGTTCTCCGCAATGAGAGGCCACATATTCCCATGCTTAGGTGCCGGGTGAGCATTCCTGTCAATATTGCTGTGAGTTATGCAAATTTGAAATTTGAACTGCCAGCTGAATCCTTATATGGTGTGGGATATCGATTAAAACAATTTCTTGAACTTGGTGGTGTTGAATTGTTGCCATGTACATTTGCTGTGATCTATAATTGGATTTGCTATTCCTTGTCTACCTCTGCAGGTCATTGGAGCATACTTTGAGAAACTTGGATCAAAATCTTTTGCAGTTTATTCAATTGCGGTGACAGATGCAGAAAACAGAACTTGGTTTGTCAAGAGAAGGTTTTATCTCACCTAACCTTTTTTTTAATTTAAAAAAAAGGAAAAGCAATTTGTTTAAGGGCCATTATCGGTTGAATGCATCTCTGAAATTTTAAAGTCTTTAAAATTTAAGCCACTTTATATTCATCTCAACATAACAACTGAAAGCTCCCACAAAGTTACTTTATTTACTTTTTTAATGGTTTAATTTTGTTTCATTATTTTTAATTTGCAGATACAGGAATTTTGAACGGTTGCATCGACATCTTAAAGAAATTCCTAATTATACATTACATCTGCCACCCAAAAGGATATTTTCATCAAGCACTGAGGATGCTTTTGTTCATCAGCGCTGCATTCAGCTTGACAAATATCTGCAAGTAATTTACTACTGACACTTTCATTTTTGTAGTATGCATACTTTTAAACCTGTTGATTCAATTAAGCTACCTTTTTGCAGGATCTGTTGTCTATAGCCAATGTTGCTGAACAGCATGAAGTGTGGGATTTTTTGAGTGTTTCCTCAAAGGTGTGTATCTTCTTGACATGGGAGTGTTACTTTAATTTTTAAGGGTAGGATAATGACATCTGATTCTATTTATTGTTGCATTTTGCTTTTGAAGAATTACTCTTTTGGAAAATCTTCATCAGTGATGAGAACCCTTGCAGGTATGTTGTTTCTGTTATTATGTTATTCTTTCTGTTTATACATCTGGGTTCCAGCTGTAAGCTGCTGCCAACATTAGATTATGTTCCACCTTGTGGTTCTACTAGTTCAATACATCAAGGTCTTGCAGAAAAATAAAAAAGGTTTTGAGAAACTCCAAGTAGGCATCTATAATTTCCGGAATGCAATCATGTGTGTCACCTTTCCATTTGTCATTAAGTTGTCTGGTAGATGAGGTTTATCTCTATTACTGGTTTCATCTTTTATACTGACATGTTTAACCTATATCAGCTTTCAGAATAGACATATCTTGTTTCTTGCTTAAAACTTTTTGATCTCCAGATTTCTTATAAATACTTCATCAACTTTTTAAATTTTTTTTATGGTTGTGTAAAGCTCATTTGATTACTCTGGCCTTTGTCTTTTGCTTTAATTTATACTTTTGTGGAAATGCTCCACAGTTGATTTCTTTCCATCCTTTATCTTTGGCTTATTTTGTTGCATAATCTTTCAGCGGCATATCTCTTCTCCATTTTGTTTTTTTTTTATTGAGGGAAGAAAGATTCGAACCTAGCTCTTTGAACAGGCGATACTGCCATCGAGCCAAATTTTGGATGCATTTCAGTCTTCTCCATTTTACTGGTTAAGGTGGTTAGCTGTTAATTTTAAGTGATTTCAAAATAAAAACGTATTTGTGTTTATTATTCTCCTTCTTTTTGTTGTGTACTATGTGCTGAATTTGCTTGGTTTTTGTTCTTTTTATTGGTATTTTCATTTTTATAAAACATTGTATTTAATGATGGGAAGTTTCATTCGTCCCTGCATATATTTTCAAGGGCTCAAGCATCATTTGGAATTCTTATACAGATGATATGATCTGTATACATGTGAATCGCTTCTTTTTCTCCCTCATTTGGAAAGGGAACTGTCATGTTAAATTTGTTGTCTTATGAGAATGGTAAATGGTGAAGGACTCATATTCTATATCCAATTTACTCAAAATCATGCATAGATCCTTTTGGTTATTGGTTTGATTCTAGTGTTTATAGTTTAGAATATTATTTTAACTTGGCTGATGTCTCGCATATAAATGACCATTTTTTGTTCAGATTACTTCCTGACAATTTCCCGTTTTCTTGTTTATGAACAGTCAATGTGGATGATGCCGTGGATGATATCGTACGGCAATTTAGAGGAGTATCTGATGGCTTAATGCGCAAAGTTGTCGGTTCATCTTCTCCCCCTGGTGAAGCCTGTTCTTCAGTCACTTGTAGGACCTTGTCATGGAATGCAGATGAGATGGCTAAAGATATTTCAAGGCAAAGTAATTTCGAAACAGTGAACAGTGCTTCTGATAATGAAGAAGGTGACAAAGATGGTAGCCATGATCGTCAGGATGACAGATCTGGTTCACAAGGTCATGTTTGGCACTCAGACAATGAATTAAACTCAAAGAGTTTGCCACCACGGGTGATAGAGCGTGGTGGAGTGTCTGATAATTTAGTTTCTGAAAATCATAATTTAGGTGTGAAACCTGAATCAGTTGGCCAGGGTGGATTTCCTGCCGTAAAGTTATCAGCAACCTCCAGTCATTTGGAGGATCCAGTTGGAATGCCCCCTGAGGTATTATGCTTTAGCTCTGTTGTTCTCCTGTTATTGTTGTTTTGGTGGTTTTTTTTTTAATTATTATTTTTAGTTCCCTTTTTCTGAGAAGAATTTAGCATATGCTAAAAGAAATTTTTTGACTGTCAACCAATACTTAATTTTTCTTTTCTTGTGAGTGTATGCCGTTAAACTGTCAGCTTTGTAACTTTCTCAATAAAATTGGGGATTGCATTCATAAGAATCTCAACCAAAAGTTAGCTTCATTACTAGGTTTTCAATTTTCTTGGTTGTTTGACCAAATTTTGTAGCTGCAACCTTTTTCTTTGGTGTCTGTCTGGCTGTGATCCATCTCTATTATTAATGATCTTTTGATTTGAATAGTTTGAGTTTGTTAGCTTACTTCATTTTAGGAAGAGCATTCTATTTCTGTGTTTGGAATTTTATGGATGCTTACCTATTGATTTTTGTGTAGTGGACACCGCCTAATGTGAGCGTACCTTTGCTGAATCTAGTTGATAATGTGTTTCAGCTTAAGAGAAGAGGCTGGCTAAGGTGAGCATTTTTTGCTTTATTTGCATAATTGGGAATTAATTAATTGCTAAAACGCCATAGTAATGTCTTCTTTTATTCAGTAATTATAATTTGGAAAGATTCTCCTAAAAGGATATTGTACCTTGTACCTTTGTTTTACTAATGCTTGTTTATCTGTCATTTTGATTTAATGCTTGTTTATCTGTCATTTTGATTTATCATTAAGTTATGCAGTCAGTTTAGGTTAGGTTGATTATGAAAAGGGCATATTTGATCATGTGTTCAAATAGTATACGGTGCTGCTTCCTAGCATAGGAGTGGTTTTTATGGTGAGTTAATTACCTATTGTGGAACTAGCTAATTATATAATGGCTTGCTGAATTTTCTGTTGTTCAATAAGTAAGGACAGGAGTCTTTTGGCTACTTCATGGTGTTCTAAAATGACTTATTTCATTTATAATTTTGCATAAATATGTGCTTGTTGTCATTGATGCAGAAGACAGGTCTTTTGGATATCTAAGCAAATATTGCAGCTGGTGATGGAAGATGCCATTGATGACTGGCTTTTGAGGCAGATTTATTGCCTTCGGAGTGAGGAAACTGTTGCCCAAGGGATTCGGTGGGTTCAAGATGTAAGGGCTTAATACATTAGAAACATCATACATTACCTTTTAGTGTTAACTGGTTCATCATCTGGTGCTGTAAAAGCATGAGCTTTGACATTAAAGGCTGCTGCTAGTGGTATATAAACTTTTAGATGGCTGTCTGTTTCAAAATGCACTGTGTATAGTTGGTATTGGGGTCTTCAACCTGAACTCAGGTCTGAATGAGAACTGTGACTGGCTGAGGCTCAGCTGTAGCCCAAATTTTGAGACCAATGAGCAAATTTCGCTTGTTACCTAGTCAAAAGACTCTTGAAGAGCCTTGTGCAAGTTCTCTGTTTCTTCTAATTGCCTCTTCTTCTCTCAGGTTCTGTGGCCAGGTGGTACATTCTTTACAAGAGTAGGGAACATTCAGAGCAAATTTGATAATTGTCATCCTAATCAGACACCTTCAGAGAACTTTAGCCAATTTGGTGGCAGTAATGCCTCTAAACCTGGGTCCTTTGAGCAACAACTTGAGGCTACTCGTAGAGCAAGCGACATAAAAAAAATGCTTTTTGGTAAGTATGTTTTTGTGTTATTGATATCTTCTCCTTGTCAGATCAGGGTGAAGATGTGCCATGGCTTTTGGATCTGTCATTGCAAGTTCACTTGATCATTGTTTTAAATGGCTTGGTCCAGTGTTCAATGGTTATATTTTTAATTAAAATTCTGAAGTCCTTGTTTATTGAGATAGTTTATGTCGTGCAAATCATTGTACATGTTAATTGAGATAGTTTATGAAAGTACTTCATTATTAATTTATATGTATATATACATGTATTTCCCTGGAGCTAGGACCTCAGGAATGGTGAAAATCTCTAAAATATTGTCTTTCTTTGTCAGATGGAGCTCCAACGACCTTAGTTAGCTTGATCGGGCATAAGCAATACAGACGGTGTGCAAGAGACATATATTATTTCACTCAGGTTGAGCTTTTATCCTTCTGTCGCATGTACTACGTTGTTGATATTCTTCTTTTACTTTCTTTTTATTTTGGTAGTTTTGGCTTTCTGAGTGTATTTATATGTTATTATCCATTGCAGTCTACTATATGTGTGAAGCAGCTTGCTTATGCGATATTAGAACTTCTACTCATATCAGTTTTCCCTGAGCTGCGGGATCTAGTGAAGGATCTTCATGGCAAGAAACATACTAAAGTTGCATAGGAATCGTGGTCTCTAGTTTGGCAAGGAACATACTAAAGTCGTCTAGGAATTGTGGATTCTGGTTCTGCTAAGAAAACGGATTTTTGTGTCAATGATCCAGAAAGCTTAGAAAGAAACATGTTTTCAAGGAACCTGAAGACCGATGTAGTCATTTTGCACCATTCGACTCAGTGGCTTCACCTGTGATTTTCATTATACAAATTAAATTATATGGATCTTTTTGGGATTTAGGAAAATAGGTTTTCTTCTTTTCACATTGTGTAATGTACAGGGATGTAGATTTATTCTGTATAGAAATCAATTATTGCCATTCTTTTGCTTTCTTTAACAAGAGCCATTCAGCAGGAATTTTGAGTTGATTTGTATTGGGACATTTAAGAAACACAGTCAGTGATATTTGATCTTCATTCATCACCATTCACGATAGGTTCTGGAATTTTGAGTCTCTTTGATTGTTTGAACATTTTAACACTCTGGATTTTTGTCTTTAAGGGTATGCTTTGTTGTTGTCCTTTTTTTTTTTTTTT